CTCTCCCCCACTGTCCCACCTGATGATACATCTCCCAGCAGACAGGGAATGCTCACTGCCAGCTGCTCAGCCTCCCAGAAAAGGCACTACACAGTTAAGAAAAAATCCCATTTCACCCCAAGATAACATTTTACTAAAAGAGAGGATTGCAATAACAGTTCATGTGAAAGTTGCAGGGCTTGTGTGATCCAACTGTGTATTCAAAGCAGCTTCTGAACTTGCTTGCCTTCAGCTGTGCTGGTGAAGATGTTCTGCGTGAAGCATCTACCACCTCTGGCTGCATTTCTAGAGAGTTTTGGCCAGGTGCTTTTGTAAACCCATTGCTTCTGGTTAAAAAAAAAATATGTCTGTGACCTATTTATTTAAAAAATATTTCCTGTGTCTGCAGCCAGGAAACACAGCTCTGCCCTCACAGAAGGTGGCTGCCTTGCCACCCCAGCACTGCAAAGGTCCACCTAGATTTGTCAATTTACGAGGCTTTGGAAGGACTTGCTCAGCAGTTTCTCCTTTAGGAGCTTGCTGCAGGGATGAATCACAGTTGCATAGTAAAGGGGCTGTTGCAAGAGGAAGTTACATTTTGACAGCGGTGGGACCTGGCAGACACCCAGTCAACATGGAGGAAAATAGCACAACATTTGGAGCCAAGCCAGTACACCGCAGGGCTGAAAGATTCCTACTCTTCTCACCACTGAATCTCTCTAGGAAGTCAATAAATTACTTCACCTGTGCTTTTCAGACGTGGTCCGAGCTCCTTAGGTATTTTCCAGGTACTGAAGAACCTGATTTGCAGAAGCCCTAAGCAGCCACAGCTGCTGTGGGAAGCTGCACTCTGCTCTCCTGCAGTTCTGCATGAGAAATACATTTAAATGTTGTATCTGCTGTCCTTGGAGCAGGGGCTGGGAAAGCTCCCCTGGCTCATGTGTGGTTGGGCCACCCATGGGCACACAGTGAGCCACATGTAAAGCCTCAGGGGAAACTAATGCTGACACTGGCAGAGCAGGAGCTGAGCAATGTTTGAGCAGCAAAGGACAGGGAGCAGCACAAAAGGGTTCTTGCTGCTGGTGGGCTGATGCTCCCCAGTCCCACAGATAATTGCCCAGCCTTAGGTTGTTCCCTCTTCCTGTGTCCCTAGAGAGAGCTGGGGGGTTATCTAAAATAAAAGGAAAAGGGTAAACACATGAGCACAATCTAATGCACACCCATAGAGGCCAAACTGCGATTGCCCAGGTGACTTTAACAGAACTAACTGATAATTGCTGGAGCTTAACTGACAATTTATTGGAGACAGTTAAAAATTAAATGTTTAAGTTTGCATCTTTGTTCTCTCTTTACTTTTATTATTATTATTATTATTATTTTTTTAAATCTTGCTTATGCCTATGTCAATAGGGATTTCTTTCCTACCGGAGTTCAAGTGTTGACATGCTTGTAACAGCCAGCTTCTGCTTGTGCAAATCCTGGGAAAACTCAGTGAGCCTGCAGGTGGCTCCTACCCTGGCTGGCTGCTTTGCATCCCCCCTGCTCAACTTCATGCTCTTATCCCAACAAAATCTGTCTCTCACTCTTCTCAGCACCAGATAAATCTCAGCAGTGCTTACAAGTATATTCCTGGGGTTTTGCTCTGGTTGCACAAGAGCTGCAATTTGCCCACCGCAAGCAGCAAATTGGGGACTGGTAAGTGCAAGCCTACTGACTGCAGGACAGTGATTTTTTTCTTGGCATAGGTGTGAAAAACCCCTCTCAACACCTGCCCACCTCACAACTTCCATCCAGCCATCCCTGGGTGCTGCCATTTCTACGACTGTAAACAAAACGGTCCCACTGCACTTTTCTGCAACAGGTTTCTAAAAACTGAGGAGTCAAAGGAGCTTTCCTGCTCTTGAAAATGACAGTGGGATGCTGCTGCAGGGAAAAACTGCTGCTACACACAGCACAAGCTGTGGTAGAAAAATATATCTGGGCAGGCACTGCTTTGCTTCCCACTCGTTAAAGGTGCTGTTTCTTGCTGAGGAACTCCAGCAGTGGGTGAAATGAGAATAAAGATCACAAGATTGCCAACATGTACATACAGAACAAGGTTTCCTATTTTAAAATTACAGTTTGTTGGAGTATTTTGTACCAAAAAACCCATAACCTAGATCCCATGGTTGGCTATGGGAGGAAGGAAGGGAACTTCCAGCTCTCTGGGACAAGAATTTCATGCTTCCAGTCTACTGCTCATTGGGAAGAAGAAATGATGACTCCCCATGCACATTACCCCCTTGTGAGATGGCTTGGTCCAGGTCATATTCTCATTCCTGC